CGTCGACTCTGACACCGCCGCCGCGCAGAGGTACCAATGCCAACCTGTATTCGGGCGTTCACTCTTCCGTGACATGATCGAGATCACATCGCCCTCAACTACCCACAGAGCTGAAGGGAACATGAGCGAATCCACCATCGACTGATGCTTCGTCAACCTCCCCAGCCATCTCATGCCCCTCATGGAGACCATCTACGTAGCCGACGACTCCCCGCTCGAGAACCCCCGCGGCCCGATTAGCGACCGCAAGATTATGCGCGTCCGCATCCGCCCCCGCAAGCCCAAGGTCGCCGCGGAGCGAGGCGTCCCCGCGTACATCTTTGACACTCCTCACTGTAAGCATCACATCACCAAGATTCTTGCCAACATAGACGTGACCAACGTGACCCCGACTGCAAAATGGCGCACGCTCAAGGCCGCGATGCAAGTCGCCGCCGCCCACGCCCGCGACGCGCTGACCAAGCCCCCCGCCGACGAGCTGACATCGCAGCCAGGATTCGTTTCCGAGGAGACCCGCGCCATGACTCTTCGCAGCATCGCACGGGCTATACGGTGCCAGAACGTCCCGCTCGCTAACTCGCTTATCGAGCACACCGACATCGGACGCCTTCACCTGAAGGTCATCGGAAGCACTGTCAGCGTAAACGACATGCCGACGTTCGCCAGGGCCGCAGACATCACGCACGCCAGCCTCAGCAACGAACGCAAATCCATCGCATCTGTCGGTCTCGCGCCGCCTTCGCAGCCAACAACGTCCCACTCGGCCAGAAGTGGCGCCAGCGCGCCAAGCGAGAAGGCTACCGAGGCGAACTATGGAAGCCCTTCGCCAAGCGCCTCGTGCTTACAGGCATCAATATCATCACCGGCAACTCGTCGAACATCGTCACCGATCCCGCCACCATGCACCAGGCCATCGTGCGTCACTGGGCCCCCGTGTTCGCCGAGAAGCATGTTGACGAAACCCTGCTCACAAACTACCTCGACTCGGTTTTCCCACGACGCCCACGAGCTGATCTTCCCATCCCTGACGCTCAGGATCTCAAGAAGGCCGCCCGCCTTGCAGGTGACTCTGCACCAGGCCCAGACGGACTGCCCAACCGTGCCTGGCTGCGCACCCCCGACGGCCTCGACATCCTGGCCGACGTCGGCCACGACATCGCCGCCAACAATATCATCCCGCACGACCCCAACTTTTCTCTCATGGCCATGTTGCCGAAAGGTGACGAACACACGGGCAACGCAGAGTGCGCGCGTGCCCCAGAGTGCTTACGGCCGCTCTCTATGAAGAACAGAGAGGTGAAGTTGCTAGCGTCCGCCGCCAACCGACAGCTTCACCCCCTCGCCGCCCTGACCTCGCCTGAGCAGCATGGCTTCGTATCAGGCCGCCAGTTCCTGAACAATGTAGTCACTGTGGACGCAGCTGCGCGCAGACACAGCCTATCCCCCACTGCATCAACTGACATGCCCGTTTTTGTCAGCAGGGACATCGCAGCTGCATTCCCCAGCCTTGGTCACCAGTGGATGTGGAGCGTCATCGAGCGCTGGGGCATCCACGGCCACACGCTGCGCCTGCTCAAGGCCTGCTACTTCTGGCCCGTCTCGTTCCTGGACCTGGGAGGAGAACGTCGCCCCCTGCTGATTGCAGCATCGGGCGTCGCACAAGGCTGCCCTCTGAGCGGCGCCATCTGGGCGCTCGTCCTCGGCCCCATCATTATTGCCCCCAGCCGCGAGCTCCGCGGGATCCAGCGCGGGCTTGTCAGCGCCTGCGCCGATGACCTCGGCATCATCCTAGCCAGACTGTCCGACATCCCCCTGCTCGCCCCGCACGTGGTCGCTGCCGAAGTACTTGCAGGCCTCCGACTTCAAGCGAAGAAATGCGTCGTCGTCCCTACATGGACGCTCCCCACACAAGACATCATCGCCGAGATGCGCCACACCCTCGCGAACGCCCGCGCCCCGTGGTCCAACTTCAAGATTGAGCTTATGGCACGTTACCTCGTTTTTTTTTTTCGTTGGCCCAGGTGCGACGCTTCAGGGCCAGTGGCGCGGGCCCTCTGTCAACTGGTGGGGCCGCGTTGAGAAGCTCGCAGCCTCGCATGCACCGCTGCAACAATGCATCGAGCTTTACAACGTCGCCGCTGTCACCTGCCTGGAGTGCGTCGGCCAGCTCTTCGAGCCCCCCTGCAGGTATCCTGCAGAAGGGGCTTCAGGCCATCAACAAGTTGCTGCGAGTCGCCCCGTCCAGCTTCGCGAAGTCCGATGTTCTGGCGATGACGCTCTGGACAAACGTAGAAGTTCCGATCGGCATTGACAACTACCTTTCCGCCACCCTCTGGCGCACGGCGACCGCCATGGTCACGGGCTGGCATCTTGCCCACCGTCTACTATGCGACACAGCCTACGACCAATTTCCCCTCGTCACCGCCACGCAAGGAATCTGGTGCAACGAGAGTTGGATGGTCAAGACCGCCATTGTCCAACGCCTCGAAGGCGCCACAAACGCCACTTTCTTTACGGACGTCAAAGGCTCTCACCTCGAGCGCCTCGCACGCACAGCTGGGCCACGACCGCGCGCGCGTGCCGCCATGATCGCCTGTCGCAAGCGTGCTGCCAGAGCAGGACTACATGCCCTTCTCCAACGCCAAGTCCTTCAGCCTGCTCCTCACCCCGCTCTGCGCCGACGCCGCCGGCCCGCCGAGATCACCCCGCAGTCAGCCTACCTGAAGTCCCTCAACGAACAGCTGTACGTAGACACCATGCCCAACACGATCAAGCGCCGACTGATTGCCTGGTTCCCACACCTTGACTCAAACCGACAGCACACGCGCGAACCACCAGACGGACCCCGACGTGAAGCTGAACGAGCTCAAGACCGACTGATGAACCGCGCCCGTGGGGCCGCCCACTGGCTCCCCAACATCCTGCTAAACGACCCTAGCATCGACGACCGTGGCGATTGGATGCAGTGGTGCACCACCTATCTGTACGAGCTCCTCGGCACCGACCTGTTCCTGCCGCTGTGCGCCACGAACGTCCAGCGCCACCGCGTCGCAGTCAACATGTGCATGCAGTCGTGGGGCAACAGCGGCATGGGGCGACTTCTACTCGAACGCAGCCTTGCCCACAATGACCAACCTCGCGATTCTCCTCGCAGTCGACCCCCTCGTTCATCATTACTCGCATATGAAGCCGCCCAACATCGTGCCCGTCGCCGCTGGATCAGCCACATCCTTCCCCTCATCGAGCCCGACGCCCACCCCGGGGGCCCCCGCCGCGACGACGAAGACATTGAAGACGAAGTCCTGCCTGAAGGCCCCGACGCACAACCAGACCTTCTACAGGCTGAAAAAGTTTTTTGTGATCTACCTGATCGATGGGTGCGCCTGCGCTCCCACTTGGCGACCCTTCCGCCTGCCGGGTTGTGGGGCGCGCTGAAGGCGCTTGCGAGAGCATGGGCAACCTCGCGCAGGATGCACGTGATCCCAATCAAACGCTCCTGTCACTTCGGGCGCCCCCTCCCCGACGGCCAAGACGCCATCCAGCGCTGCGCCATCTGCGGCCGCATGTGGCACCAGCTGGCCAAACCCCGGGGCCAACTGAGCGCCCATTTACTGACGAGGCTTGGACTTCCCAAGCTCACCGACCCCTTCGACGGCGAGAACGGCATCCCCAACAGCGTCGCGAGGCTCAGCGTCGCGACGCGTGTCTACCACCTCACCAAGGGCGATGTCCTGCCGATGACGTACCAGAAGCAAGCGACCGCCGTTGCTGCCGCCCGCCGCGCTCTGAAGCTGCCCGCCGACCTTTCGGGCGGAGCTGGCGCGCCGTAGTTCGGCCTTCCGACGGGCTCGCCCCCTCAGGCGACGTTCGCTCCTCCTTCTCCCCCTCCTCCTCCTCCTCCTCCTCCTCCTCCTCCTCCTCCTCCATCTCCTCCTCCTCCTCCTCTCTTCCTCCTTCTGCATGAATTCTCCGTGTCGCACAACGGGGCCAGTTTTTAGTGCGGGCTGGGCGTTTCGCCTGGGACTTCCGCACCATTTATGATTCTGGGCAACCGTGTCACGCAAGGAGGGCGGACGGTGTTCAACAGCATTCGTTTCAACTCTTCGCAAGCGCTTCACGGATTGAGGGCGGGTGGTTTTCAACGTGCGGCTCTCGCCCTAGCGCCGCGCACAGTCGTTCTAAAAAACGCAGGAGCTTCGCGGATTGAGGGCGGGTGGCGTTCAACTTGTGGTTCTCGCCTTAGCGCCGCGTGCATTCGTATACAATGGCAGGCGCTTCACGGATTGAGGGTGGTTCTCTTTCAATTTGTGGGCTCTCGCCCTAGCGCCGCGCACATTCGTTTTGAATGTCTGCAAAGAACGCCACGGACTCCCATCATCATCATCATCATCATCATCATCATCATCATCAACATCAACATCAACATCATCATCATCATAACCATCATCAGCATCATCGTCATCATCATCATCGTCACCATCATCGTCATCATCATCATCAGCATCATCATCAGCCTCATCATCATCATCATCATCATCAACAACAACATCATCATCATCGTCGTCGTGCCGGAGAAAAAAAAAGTGTTTTGGCATGATTTCGGATTGATGCGGGCGCCACAGTTATGTTGATTCGCGGTGTGGAAGTCCCCAACATGGCGTTCTGGCACGATTCCAGATCGTCAAGACGCAGCAGTCAGGTTCATCCGTGGCGTGGAAAGCCCGACAACAATGTTTTGGCATGCTTCAAGGTCGTCAAACCGTTGTCTTCCAACGAGGCAGTTTCGTCAATGGAAACCTTTGTCCTCCGTCCTCCGTCTTCCGTCCTCCGTCCTCCTCCTCCTCCCCCTCCTCCTCCTTCTCCTTCCTCCTCTTCCTCCTCCTTCGTCCTCCGTCCTCCTCCTCCTCCTCCTCTTCCTCCTCCTCCTCCTCCTCCTCCTCCTCCTCCTCCTCCTCCTCCTCTTCCTCCTCCTCCTCCTCCCCCCTGGCACCGTCACGCAGGAGAGTCGCCGAGCAAGGCCACCTCGTGCTTGTGCGGCGAGGCGCGTTGTGGGGTCGGCGACTACTGCCACGCGGCTGCCAGCGCGTGCGTCTCGCCGTGGAGCCTGCTGATCGGCAGCGGCTACTGCAGGGACGACGCGTGCACCGACCCGTCGAGTTGCGCTCACCCCTGGTCCTTTCTCATGTTGGTCTGTTTTTGTGTGTTTGTTTGTTTGGTTCGTTGGGCTGTTTCAGTCTTTCGTTCTAGCGCTCTTTCTCTCTCTCTCTCTCTGTCTGTCTCTCTCCCGTCTCTCTCGCTGTCTCTCTCTCTCTCTCTCTTTCTCTCTCTCTCTTGCTCTCTCTCTCTCTCTCTGGCTCTCTCTCTCTCTCTCTCTCTCTCTCTCGCTTTCTCTGTTTCTCTCTAGCCGTGCTAACGCAATCGGTTTTCACAGAAACTGATCTGGCACAACTTCTGTCCCGGCCAGGGAGGCTGGGTGCAGAGGGCCCAGGGAGGGCCCAAGACGGCCCCAGATGGCCCCAAGACGGGCCCGGAGAGCCCCAGGAGACTTCAGGAGGGCCCGACGAGCGCCCTAAGACGGGCACCATGGGCCCAAGCTGGCCCAAGATGGGCCCAAGATGGGCACTCGACGGCCCAACGGGCTACCCAGATGGCCCAAGGGGGCCTGAAAACGTCTCCCAAGTTGCCCCCCGGATGCAACAAGTCAGGGTTTTCCTCAGGTTTCGGTGCCATCTTCGCATACTCGGCTTCTCGGTGTCCAGAGCGCTTGAGAGCCGAAGAGGCCCCCGAGATCGCTCCGAGATGGCCCAGTCGGCTCCCAGTAGGGCCCCAAGACGAGCCCAGGACCCAGGACGGCACAAGAGGGGCCCAAGACGGCCCCAAGACGCTCCAAGAGGGTCCTCGGAGGGGCTCCAGACCGCCCATGAGGGCACCAAAGCAGCCCAATAGGGTCCCCAGACCGCCCCAGAACAGCCCCAAGAATCCCCCCAAGATTGCCCAGAGAGACCAACACGGCCCCAGAGGGCCCCAGAACCAGAGCAATCTTGGGAGTCCCTTGGGGCTGTTCTGGGGAGGTCTGGGGGCCAAGTTGGGCTGTCTTGGGGCCTTCTTGCGCCATCTGGAGCCTCTCCAAGGGCCCTGTTTGAGCGTTTTGGGGCCGTCTTGGGGCCCTCTTGGGCCGTCCTGGGCTCGTCTTGGATCCGTCTTGGGCGCTGATTTGGCCATCTTGGAGCGACCTCGGCCGTCTCAGGCGTTTTGGATTCCGAGAAGCCGAGTATGCGAAAATGACACCGAAATCGAAGGAAAACCTATATTTTGTTCCTCCTGGGGACCTCGGCTTTTCGGCTTCTTGGAATCCAAAACGCCTGAGACGGCCGAAGAGAGGCCCCCGAGGTCGCTCCAAGATGGCCACAAGACGGATCCAAGACGAGCCCAGGACGGCCCAAGAGGGTCCCAAGACGGCCCCAAGACGCTCAAACAGGGCCCCTGGAGAGGCTTCAGATGGCGCAAGAAGGCCCCAATACAGCCCAACTTGGCCCCCAGACCTCCCCAGAACAGCCCCAAGAGACTCCCAAGATTGCTCTGGTTCTGGGGCCCTCTGGGGCCGTGTTGGTCTCTCTGGGCAATCTTGGGGGGCTTCTTGGGGCTGTTCTGGGGCGGTCTGGGGACCCTATTGGGCTGCTTTGGTGCCCTCATGGGCGGTCTGGAGCCCCTCCGAGGACCCTCTTGGAGCGTCTTGGGGCCGTCTTGGGCCCCTCTTGTGCCGTCCTGGGTCCTGGGCTCGTCTTGGGGCCCTACTGGGAGCCGACTGGGCCATCTTGGAGCCATCTCGGGGGCCTCTTCGGCCGTCTCGAGCGCTCTGGAGACCGAGAAGCCGAGTATGCGAAGATGGCACCGAAACCTGAGGAAAACCTATACGTTGTTCCTCCTGGGGGTCTCTTGGGAACCGTCTTTGGGCCCCCTTGGGCCATCTGGGTGGCCCGTTGGGCCGTCGAGTGGCCATCTTCGGTCCGTCTTAGCTATCTTGGGCCTATCGTGGACGTCTGGGGGCGCTCGTCTTGCCCTCCTGAGGCCTCCTGGGGCCCTCCAGGGCCGTCCCGTCTTGGGGCCTCCTGGGGCGCTCGCGACTCAAGCTTCCCGGACGCACCCGGAGTTATAGCAGGCCAGTTTACAATGTGCAATGCACGCATGAAAAGCGTTTTGGGGCTTCTTCGGGCCTCCACAGGCATCTGGAGGACTCTGGGGACTTCTGGAGGCCTCTGGAGACTTTCGGAGACCTCCAGAGATCTCCGGGTAACAGGATGCTGGGTGCCTGTGTGAGCTGGCCGACGCCTTGATTCGCAGGCGATCTCTCTCCCCCAGTCCTTTCCCTAAACAAACAGGGGATCAGCAATGCAGGGAAACGCACCCCCAGGTGGTCAGGCTTCGGGCTGCGCGCAGGCAGCCTCCCCGGGCAGCGCCAGCTTGCCTCGACGGGTCCCTCGGGCAGTCCCGGCTTGCCTCAGCGGTTACCCCGAGCAGCCCGATGGCGGTCGAAGCACGGGAGCGCCCCGGGGGTCGCCGCTGGAGGCGCCGCGGGAGGCGGCGCCAGTCAAAAACCAGAACGTCGGCGATGGGGGTCGTCCTCCTCCTCCTCCTCCTCCTCCTCCTCCTCCTCCTCCTCCTCCTCCTCCTCCTCCTCCTCCCTCCTCCTCCTCTCCTCCTCCTCCTCCTCCTCCTCTCTCCTCTCTCATCTCTCTCCTCCTCCTCTCCTCTCTTCTCCTCTCTCTCTCCTCCTCCTCTCTCTCCTCTCCTCCTCCTCCTCCTCCTCCTCCGATGCTCGGTCCATGTCCACCACGTGGGGGCTGTCGTGGCCCGCGTCCGTTTTTCTCTTCTCTCCTGGGGGGTGGGGCGGTGGGAGCGCCGACCTCGGCCAGGTCTGGGGCTCCGGAGGGGCCCGCGGCCCTGTGCTGCCGCTGCTCCTCCTCTCTCCTCCTCCTCCCTCCTCCTCCTCTCTCTCTCTCCTCCTCCTTCTCCTCCTCCTCTCTCCTCCTCCTCCTCCTCCTCCTCCTCCTCCTCCTCCTCCTCCTTCTCCTCCTCCTCCTCCGTCTCCGAGGTCCGCCAGCACTCTGCCAGGTCCTCCATTTATTTGCGTGTCCCAGGGCCCCTTCACTCCTCCTCCGTCTCCAGGGTCCGCCGTGGCGTCTTGCGCCACCCTTGAAGGCTGCCAGCACTCTGCCGGCACGTCTTGCGCCTGTGCTGCTGCTGCTGCTGCTCCTCCTCTTTCGGGAGGGAAAGAAGCACACAGACACAATTCATCGTCGGTTCCCCAGAAAATAGGGGAAATTCTGGGAAGTGTGGGGGAAGGCAAAAACCCAGAAGGTATGGGAAGATGCGGGGAATCATGTTATTTGTATGTATTTATTTGCGTGTCCCAGGGCCCCTTCACTCTTCCTCCTCCGTCTCCAAGGTCCACCGTGACGTCTTGCGCCACCTTCGAAGACTGCCAGCACTCGTGCGCGGGGAGCGGAACATGCACTGGATTCGCGTGGACAGAGGTTCCGTCCGGCGCGTTCAGCTCCGACTGGGACGGCTGCATTGCAGCCGGACTACCACGGTGCGTCGTCTACCAGGGCTTCGGGATTCCGACCCGCACGACCAGCTACGCCCAGCAGTACCAGTGCTACACGCTGGGGGCCGTCAACACCCAAACGCTGACTTCTGCTTAGATGACTTACGATCAGTGGATCGGGCAAAGCAAAGAGGATGCAACACGTGTTGGCAAGAGTGGACCCCAATCAGTGGGTTCTTGCAGTCTCGATGCGCGTTCAATGTGGTGCGCTCCATGTGGAGCGCCTTAACTTTTGCAATCCATGTGGCGAAATCTCTGTGGTGAGATGTGTGTGTGGGTGGTGCAAGATGTGTGGTGCAATACATGCAGTGTAAGCCGTGGGATGCAGTCTATGTGGCGCAAACTACGTTGTGCAACCTATGTGGTGCAACGTATGTGTTGCATTTTTTCTCCAAACGAGTTCACACAGTCAAATTGTGCAAACATCCCACTTACCCACCCGCAACTTGGTTTGCAAAACCCATGGGCGGCGATTGCGATGAGTACTTGGCGCTGGCTGGTGCATCTCTGCGGCTGCGCCAGCCCGCGCATGCACGCGCGCGCAGCAGCCAGTTAGTTTGGCGCGACCGACGCGGCCACGGCGGCGTTGATCTCTGGGCACATCCCAGCGGGCACTTCAGTTCGAGTCGGCGACTTGGGCGGGTGCGGTATCATGGCAACGTCAACGCTGGTAGACACGCTGATGATAGTAGCGATGCTGGTGACGATGTTGACAGCGACGACGGCACGGCCAGTGACGGCGCCGATGCTGATCACGCCGACGACGATGACGGCGTCCTCGCGTCGGTGATGAGGGTTTTGGAAAGAGTTCGACATGCGCGCGCGGCCGACGCGCGAGAGTGGCCCGCATGTTTTTTTGGACATGGATCGTGCCCCCCCCCCCCCCCCACATGCGCGCAAGGGCGTTCGAACGATCTCGTCATGCGGCGCGAGAGGCCCGCTTGGCAGAACTCCATGAACATGTGGGAAAACCCATGATTCTCTTACGGATTCGCCAGAGCGCGCGCGCACGTTGCAAATCCATTTGTTTTTTTGTGTATGGTTTCGGGACACTTGGTTTTGACATCCTTGCGAAACCTTGGATTTCCGAAAGATTTCGGCATGCGCGCGCGACGACGCGCGCGCGTGCAGTTCGTCATGTTTTTTGCAGCAGGTTCTCGCGACAGCATGCCCGAAAGGGCGTTCGATATGCGCGCGCGAAGCCCGTTTGGTAGCATTTCCTGAACACGTTGCAACAACAACAACAACGTTTTTTTGTAAGAATTTGCGAGAGCGTGCGCATTTTGAACATCCGTGTCGCGAAACCATGTGTTTATTCCAGGTTCCTTTTTTCCCGTTGCTCCAGCATGCTGCTGCGCTCGCAGGGTCGGATGGGGTTCCACGCGCATAGGGTGCTGCTCCAGGGAGGGCCTCGCTTTCGAAAAGTCGATCGATACGCTGCCGACGCTTCCTCGGCAGACGGCGGCGGAATGCCAGCGGAGGGCCCGCGGAAATCCGTCCATAATTGTTCCATGAAGAAGGCATTGCTCAGCATTAGCGGTGCTGTTTTTCAGTGCGTGATTTCCGCCCCGCACGAAAGTAATACCTCGTCCGTACCATGTCCGAATTCATATGCTATCGTCTATATGTTTTGGGCAAGTGCTTTGCCCCAACTATTTGTTTTCCTTTCTTTCGCGAGTTTTAAGTTGGGTCGTAAGCGGTTGCGCTGTCATTCGATCTGGCCGTTTGTATCAGTCACCGATCGAAGCAGGGATCGGGGAGAGCTGGTCTGGGTCGACCCTTTGAGTGGAGCCGGAGATACGGGATGGATCCGCATTTGGATGGGTTGATCGATCAGTACACCCAGTCGAGGTGTTTGTTTCACGCTGTCAGTTCGATCGGGGCTGTACACCAGAGAAGCTGATCATGATCTGGATCATGCTGCGGGTCGGCATCGTTCGGACGGGGACCGTCTAAGGACGTCGACGACAGAAGCGACCGCGACAGAGACGAGCTCGACCACTATCTCGGAGACCACCACCCTCACTTCCACCAGCGACACTTCCACCATGACCTACTCCATCACCACCATGACCTCCTCCATCACAACGACCTCCTCTACTATAACCTCCTCGACAGCTACGTCCACTGTCAGTCTCACAACCACCTCCTCTTCCACCTCGTCGACCATGACGAGCACCACGACCCCGCTGTTCGTGGTGAGGAGCTCGTTGGCGTTCGAGAGCACCGGGATTCTGTCCGACGTCGAGGCTTCTGGGAGGGTGGAGGGACCCTTATTTCGGGGGCCACATGCGAACCCTACCCCTGCCCCCCAAGATTTCTGAGGGAGAGGGTGGGGTTCACTTCGCTCGGGAGCTCCCGAACGAAGTGAACCCCACCCTCCCCCTCAGAAATCGTGGGGGGCAGGGGTAGGGTTCGCATGTGGCCCCCTATCATTCATCCAGACGCAACCGAGAAGTACCCATCGGTCGGAAGGAGGGGGTCCAGACCTCCAGCGTCCGGAACCTTGAAGACGGAGGTTTTCTCACCCGTTGTAGGCCTCCAGGGGCCCTCACCAGGCGCCAGGGCCGTCAACAAACGTCACACGATGCAAATTTGATCCAATGAGGACCTGGCATCGCTCGGACGTGTGCATCTTTTCTCGGCGAGAACCGTTGAGGACGATCCTGGACCGTCGAGCAACAAAAACACGCACGAAACCGAAGACTGCACGGGAAATGGACGTCCGAGCGATGGCGAGAGGAGGGTCGGGACTTCCGGGGGCCGCGCCGCGAGGAAGGGCCGATGCGTCGGCTCCCTGGGGCGTGGAAGGCAGCTTGGGCGCCCGCCCGCCACTGCAGAGGAATAAGGACACGGGAAGCCCACCCGATGGTCGGAGCAGGAAGGCGTCCAAAGTAGGCACGAATCCGGGAGTCCAGAAGTATCTTTAAGTCGGGCCTGTCTCCCCAAATAATCGAACAATAGTTGTCCAAAAATAGTCTGGGGACTATTTGAGTTTTTTTTTTTTTTTTTTTTTTTTTTTTTTTTTTTACCTTTTTGGGGTATTTTTGCGTTTTTTTTCGTCGAAAATCCCTGTAGGGGGACAGGCCCGACCTAAGAGTACCTGCTTCCAACGACCGATGGGTACAGCCGACGTGCTTTGCTCGTCCCTCCTGCTGCTCAGAGACCAGCACCACGCGTGAGAGCGGCCCGTCCTGCAGTGGGAGGGCACCTCGCCCTCCTTCCCGACCCCTCGGATCCCTTCGTGGCCCACTTTTTCTGTTCGCGTGGGCACCTGCTTTTCCCGCCCCCCCCGGTGTCAAGCAGCAGCAGCAGCAGCAGCAGCAGCAGCAGCAGCAGCAGCAGCAGCAGCAGCAGCAGCAGCAGCAGGAGCAGCAGCAGCAGCAGCAGCAGCAGCAACAGCAGCAGCAGCAGCAGCAGCAGCAGCAGCAGCAGCAGCAGCAGCAGCAGCAGGCAGCAGGAGCAGCAGGAGGAGAGCAGCAGGAGCAGCAGCAGCAGCAGCAGCAGCAGCAGGCAGCAGGAGCAGGAGGAGGCAGCAGCAGAGGCAGCAGCAGCAGGAGGCAACAGCAGCAGCAGGAGGCAGCAGGAGGCAGCAGCAGCAGGAGGCAGCAACAGCAGGAGGCAGCAGCAGCAGCAGCAGCAGGAGGCAGCAGCAGCAGCAGCAGCAGCAGCAGCAGCAGCAGCAGCAGCAGCAGCAGCAGCAGCAGCAGCAGCAGCAGCAGCAGCAGCAGCAGATAGTTCGTGGTGGCTTGGGCCTTCTCGGGCACGCTCCACCTCCACCTTCCTGACCTGGACCCTGCTCCCCCTCCTCCTCCTCCTCCTCCTCCTCCTCCTCCTCCTCCTTCTCCTCCTTCCCCTCGAAGTGCGATGCTCCTAGTTTGTTCCCAACCCTCCTGCGTTGGGTTCTCGTTTTGAGTAGAGCACTGCTCGCGCGAACCTTCCCCCCCCCGTCCCTCTCTTCCCCCCTGCCTTCGCTCGTCGCTGCGTGCCAGCTGGGGGGCTGCGATCTGTGAAACTGTCGCCACTTTCGAGGCCTGCTGGGGGGCCCAGCACAGTGGGTACCACGGCGGACTCAAATTTGACCTCGCCATCCCTGGGGGGCTGCGATCTGTGAAACTGTCGCCACTTTCGAGGCCTGCTGGGGGGCCCAGCACAGTGGGTACCCACGGCGGATTCAAATTAGACCTCGCCATCCCTGGGGGGCTGCGATCTGTGAAACTGTCGCCACTTTCGAGGCCTGCTGGGGGGCCCAGCACAGTGACGCCACGGCGGATTCAAATGGGACCTCGCCATCCCTGGGGGGCTGCGATCTGTGAAACTGTCGCCACTTTCGAGGCTTGCTGGGGGGCCCAGCACAGTGGGTACCCACGGCGGATTCAAATGACCTCGCCATCCCTGGGGGGGCTGCGATTTGTGAAACTGTCGCCACTTTCGAGGCCTGCTGGGGGGCCCAGCACAGTGGGCACCCACGGCGGATTCAAATTTGACCTCGCCATCCCTGGGGGGCTGCGATCTGTGAAACTGTCGCCACTTTCGAGGCCTGCTGGGGGGCCCAGCACAGTGGGTACACCGCGGACAAATTAAACTCGCCATCCCTGGGGGGCTGCGATCTGTGAATCTGTCGCCACTTTCGAGGCTGCTGGGGGCCCAGCACAGTGACACCACCGCGGACCAAATTGGACCTCGCCATCCCTGGGGGGCTGCGATCTGTGAAACTGTCGCCACTTTCGAGGCCTGCTGGGGGGCCCAGCACAGTGGGAACCCACGGCGGACTCAAATTGGACCTCGCCATCCCTGGGGGGCTGCGATCTGTGAAACTGTCGCCACTTTCGAGGCCTGCTGGGGGGCCCAGCACAGTGGCACCCGCGGCGGACTCAAATGGGACCTCGCAATCCCTGGGGGGCTGCGATCTGTGAAACTGTCGCCACTTTCGAGGCCTGCTGGGGGGCCCAGCACAGTGACGCCACGGGCGGACCCAAATTAGACCTCGCCAAACTCTGGGGGGCTGCGAATCTGTGAAACTGTCGCCACTTTCGAGGCCCCCATGGAGGGCTCGGGGGCCACGTTTGTACTTGTGCCCAGCACAGGGGGGTACACACTGCGATTCAAATTGTACCTAGCATCCTTGGGGGGCTGCGATCTGTGAAACTGTCGCCACTTTCGAGGACTGCTGGTGGGTCCAGCGGAGTGAGGCACCACGGGGACGGGGACTCCGATTAGACCTCGCCATCCCTGGGGGGGCTGCGATCTGTGAAACTGTCGCCACTTTCGAGGGCTGCTGGGGGGCCCAGCACAGTGGGTACTCACGGGTGATTCAAATTAGACCTCACCATCCCTGGGGGGCTGCGATCTGTGAAACTGCAGCCACTTTCGAGGCTTGCTGGGGGGGCCAGCACAGTGGGTACACACACCGCGGATTCAAATTAGACCTCGCCATCCATGGGGGGCTGCGATCTGTGAAACTGTCGCCACTTTCGAGGCCTGCTGGGGGGCCCAGCACAGTGACGCCACGGGCGGACCCAAATTAGACCTCGCCATCCCTGGGGGGCTGCGATCTGTGAAAGTGTCGCCACTTTCGAGGCCTGCTGGGGGGCCCAGCGCAGTGACGCCACGGGCGGATTCAAATTTGACCTCGCCATCCCTGGGGGGCTGCGATCTGTGAAACCGTCGCCACTTTCGAGGCCTGCTGGGGGGCCCAGCACAGTGGGTACACACCGCGGACTCAGATTAGACCTTGCCATCCCTGGGGGGCTGCGATCTGTGAAACGGTCGCCACTTTCGAGGGTTGTTGAGGGGCTCAGCACAGTGGGTACTCACCGCGGATTCAAATTAGACCTCGCCATCCCTGGGGGGCTGCGATAAGTGAAACTGTCGCCACTTTCGAGGCCTGCTGGGGAGCTCAGCACAGTGGGTACCCACCGCAGACTCAACTTAGACATCGCCATCCCTGGGGGGCTGCGATCTATGAAACTGTCGCCACTTTCGAGGCCTGCTGGGGGGCCCAGCGCAGTGGGTAATCACCGCGGGTTCAAATGAGACCTCGCCGTCCCTGGGGGGCTGCGATGTGTGAAACTGTCGCCACGTTCGAGGCCTGTTTGGGGGCCCAGCACAGTGGGCTTCCCGCACGTCTTTCTCCTGCTCTTCGTTCCCGACACTCCATGTCCTCTTCGAGCCTGTAGTTGTCGCCCCTCGTTCTAGTATTGTTCTCCTGCGCATCATGCCATTGGCGCGTGTCCCAAATGGCTACACATCAAACAACGGATCCTGCAATTCGATTGTCCATGCAAGTTTCGGCCAACTCCTCGTTTCCCATGGTACAAATGGGTTGGGTACGTCACACGGTAATTGTTCGAGCCGCTTGGGGCCTCTGGGGGCGTGCGGGATCCTCCACCACCACCTCCTGCTCGCTTCTGGGTGCAGCGGGGGGGGGGGGG